ATATTATAATCTGCATTAGCAAATATACCTACATGTTTATTTCAGTATCATATGGTTTATAATTTCCTTTTCATTGAACCATTTAACTTGTCTTAAGAAAACAGAAGACTCAGAGCTGATAACAACAGAGCATGTGTAGGTTGGAGGTATAAGAGAGGAAACCACAAACAGGAATAAGGCCAGGTTGCATAGCAATGCTGCCCGTCACAAGGGTAGAAGAGACATGAGCCAGAGGTGCTGTTCCTAAATCTGCAGACAACTAACTGTTTGTAAAGACGTAGGTAGGTGTGTAATGTCTGGTTCAGAAGGTCAGGATGTTATTCTCAGAATTTCACAGATCAAAATCTGCCTGACAACAAGAGGAACACCAATGAGGGGTCAAAACGAGGTCAACAAACCAACCAAGGAACAAGGATGAAGGACAACACGGATGACGTCAGATCAACCGACATTTTGCATATTCATGATTGTATTATAAATTCTCTGGGATGAGGAAATTAGGGGTTCCGGCTTCCTGAAGAGGCTGTGAACCATACTTCTGTAGTGTGGATAGGGGCTTCAGATAGATGGAATCCAGAGCTCTGTATTGCTTTTCTTGAACATTGTAATAAAAATATCTTAAAGGTTGTTCTGACTTCGACTCTTCTTCAGAAACGAACATGCAGGACGGTTAAGTCCAACAGAACTTACAACAACTACTTAACAGAATGGGAAAAGAAATATGGGTTTAAAGGTTGACTAACGCAGGCTGACTGCGCTAAATCAGTCCAACAAATAGGAAAACAGATTTTTACGCGAGACCCAGACCCGACGCTCCTGCCAAACCAGTCCAACCATCAAGAGAGAGTCCAGAACCCTCCGCTTCACCCGACAAGGCAAGGAAAGCCTGCAACAACGCTGTTATGCCGCTGTATATTGTGCAAACCACACGAATATTTAGCCCTGAAAAGAAAACCAGTTCCACGGAACAACTGTGGCTGATACACTGTCTCGGATAAAATTTTTATTGATACGAAGACATTAAGCAAATCATCACGCACTCCGTGATACTTTAGAATTCGCCGAACATGCAAAATGCCATTTAAGAAACAAGCTAAAAGAAGTTTGCTACAGTTGTGTTAATAGCTCCCTAGAGGAGAGGTTTCTGCTGTTTTAATTCCAGAGGGAACAGCGTCATGGCAACCACACGGAAGGAGACACAAAATGATGGAAAACAGGACTGGACTGGTCAGGAGCAGACAGGTCAGAGGTCTACAAATATACGCATATACATAGGAGCTGCGTGAGTAAAATGATATAATGATGATATGTTAAAATGATTTCATTCGTTTATTTTAACATTATGGGGAAATCATTTGACAGTTTTGGGGATAGCTATAGGAAAAAAGAGAAAAACCTATCGTAACCAGCCTAGAAAGGGGTAAAGATTTAATTTTATTCATTTCTGAGCACGGTTTATCTTTATTTTACGCTTATAATTTGGATTTTATTTTGAAAAACAGGAAGTTATTTTGAAGAAACAGGATGTAGGGTGCTACATTACTCCAGTTAGCTTAACTTTGATAAATCATGGATAAAGCACTGTATCTTCTCTCCATGTTGGGCTAAAAACAAGAGAAAAAGGTATGAAAACCAGTGTTTTTTTTTTTGTTTTTTTTGAAGAACCATTGAAAAAACATTTTTAATTGTCTTGACTACTGTGTTTAGGAAATCTTTTATACTATTGTTGAGCTGGATTGTTTCATATGGCTAAACAAAGAACACTCCCATGATTTGTCTAAAAAGAGGAACATGGATTCCTCATGGTGCTGTTAGAAGTTCTTAAGTTTTTTTCAGTATCTGTTTGTTTGCTTTTGTCCCAAAACCTACAGCCAGGAAGACCTGGCTCAAGTTATATTTTGACTGAAAATTTCTCTACTGTTATGCCAAGAAGGGGGTCCTTACCATGAATTTCCACTACAAAGGCAGCCTCACAAGCTGAACTTCAGAAGTGGCAGAAAAGGGAGACAACCTTTAATGAAACAACAGAATTATATGAATGACCGCAAGACAAACCTATCCTACCAAATAGTAGTCTTCTTTAGATATGCTGCAATTTTGAGAAATGGACAGAGTCATGCTTTAAAAAAGGGGGAGATAGATAGGGACAGTGTAGCCCAAGTGTGAAATGCTTGAACAAGTTCAGTGTTGGTTCTCAGAAAAAGGACTTTGGCTTGTGTTGAAACGGGGTTGCAGTGCATTGTATGTTATGAAAGGGTTAATATCTTGGCACCACTGGTTGACTGTGAGGGGACCAATCAGTAAGCTGAATGGAATAGTTGGCGCGCACTAGTTCCGCATTCCAATGTCCATGTTTTCCAGCTTTCTTTGCTTCTGCACGGGCCTGCATGCTACTCAGAGAAATAGCAAGGACCCTTTTTGTGTCAATTGCGTGGAAAGAGTAAAATATTATGTTTTAAAATACAGTTAGCTTATTTTGTTTGTGTCGAGAGGTAATTGACTCGTATGTTGTTATGTTTAAGCATTGTAGAACGGGGCGCATAACCAAAGCACCCGCCGACCAGCTGACGTAGAAGGAAAATAAAAGTGTGATAACTACTCAATGGTCAGGTTTTTTTTTTTTGTAGGAAAAAAGAAACAAAAGAAACCTCTCTCATCTGTCTGGAGTTCTTCCTGGAAGAAGTTGGATCGGAGATACTCGGTGGATGCTGGGGTGGCGAGCCAGGCGAACGCTTCAAGAGGAACTGGTTGTGAGAAGGACTTTTGGGATCCAGTTTTAACTACGGAGTTGGCAGGATCTCTGAGGCAATCTAAAGGGCCCCAACGATCTGACACTTATTTTGAGGGAAGGGTTTCATTTCATTTTGTTATTTATTTAGTGCGCACTTTACCTCATTTGTTTTTTATTTATTTAGGCCAAATTTATGGCCAAATCAGGATTCTCTCTACTTAACGTCACCACTCTTTTCTCGGAATGTACTCTTGACAGATGTACCTTCAGTGAATTAAAAGAACTGAATGTACACAGTTTGGTTAATCACATCAACTGTTTGTCCCATTAAAAGCTGTATCCATCCAACCAGGATTCAGGTGGAGGTTACAACAGGGACAGCCATGCTAGGCAAAGTGTTTACAGCATATGGATTTTCAAACTATTCCAACATTTTTGTGTTAACCGTACAATATGGGCTTGCCACAATGCAAGAGAAAAACTTAAGAACTAAAAGAGGTCAGTTTCCAAAACCACAACTTCCATTTCAGCACAGCTGTATGGACTTCATAAAATTAAACAAGTGTGAGGGAAAGAAATTCTGCCTGGTAATAATAGACATATCGAAGTGCTTCCCACAACTCATAACCCCCAGAAATGGAATACTTGAAAATTATATAGTGACAATGGAATCCAAGTTGTACACTGTGCAATACCATTGTTAGTCCAAAACTTTACACATAGACCTGACCCACGCATATCATCCACAACCTGCAAGGTTAGTGGGAAGAGAGTGGCACGCTTAAAGCACAATTGAGAAAAACAGGGGAAGAAATTGGAAAAAAAATAGGATTTATTGTCTACCATTAGTACGCCTGCACATGTTTGTAACTCCCACAGCTTTGACCTTTTGAATTAATATATGGCAGACCTTACATTATTTCACAATTAAAACCTTTCCAGTGTCCAGATGAAGAGGGTGAACAAGCCTTGGAAGAGTATATGACATAAAATGCTAACATACAAGAAGTTGTTTGTGCTAGTTCTATTCCAGGAGGACCAGTGGAGCTGCAAATCAAAACTATGAAATCTGGAGAGGGGGTGCTACTAAAGGTGATTAAAATTAACCTCTAGAGTCCCTGCGTCCTCATATGAGGACCGCACAGCTTGGGTTTCCAAAGCTCAGGACTCTAGAGGTTAATACCGTGCATTTAGAGGGTTAAAATCCTGAGAATGATTGAATGTTTGGTAGTTTTGAGCAAGCAAGAAGTCAAGGGATTAATAAAAAAAAAGCAGAAAAAAATATTGATGTATGATGATTTTATAACAATTTTTGTATATGTACATTTTTGGCCACAAGGGTGTTAGGGGGGTTATGTGGTGGCAATTTTTATAATAGCACCCCAAAATGCATTAAAAGAGTGTTTAAATGCCATTTAAGAGTAAACGGCACTGGATTTCAAAAATATTACTAAAAAGAAACTTTCCTTCCAAATTTCATGTCATAAGCTTCAACACAGCCAAAATGATCGCCAAAAACAAAAAAAAAAAGGAAAATTGACAAAAATGGACATTTTTGCCTAAGGAGGGTGGAAGGGTTAAAAAGCTGAACATTTTAATACCTGAATAGTTATTCTAGCTGAAAGTATGCTGAAAAATTAGGTGACATAAAACGGATGGAAGAACCCAGAATAATAAAAAATAAATGCCAGCATAACTTAGTCTGGATGCTTCACAGCATCCACAAAAATATTTGGGCTCTCTGCAGGTATCCATGATGCTAACAGTGAATGCCCCATAGTACTAGCTTAAATAGCTTTTTTAATGTTGAAAAGGATATAAAACTGGCTATTAGAGAGCAGGAATAAAAACACAGGATGAATTGTGACCCTCTATATCCATCTCCAAGTACCTCATATACTGCATACAGATATGTGGTCTGATTACATGCTATATGGAATATAAAACAAAATGTGAAATGAAACATGAAATACTTCTCTGAAAATGCTATATGCTGTCATATTAAAAAGATAGGTGTGGAGGTGGATATATGTCTTTAGTGAGGTTTTACCAACTCATGTCAACAGTGTCTTGCTAACTCCCTCAGTGCCCAAGGACACACACACACATACATCTTACATACTGCGGTGCTGTGACAAGGTGTCTACTCTTACACTAGTCGCATTTTCCTTTACTTGCATTCCTTGTGGCGGTACGCAAAACATATGGACACATGGTGTGTGCAGGTATGTTCTGCTGATACACAAATCACACAAGCTAGTGTAGCCGGATCAAGTAATAAAATTACAGTCTCCTAAGGGGAGTAACTGAAACTCTCCCTGGTGCAGTAAGGTGTTGTTTAGTAGGTGCCCAGCGGGTGTCGCTATGATAGTTGTATACATGCAGTGCTCACCCACAGCTGTATGAGGGCGCATCTGTTGTGACGTCATCACTGTGTGACAGGCGAGTGTCCCGTGGGAAAAAAAGAGAAACAGAGACCGAGAAGGAGAAAAAGAGAAAAACGCAGGGAAATACAAAGCTCCGTGACGGCGTAAGTGTCTGACAGAAATTATATGACGTCTGTATGGGTTACAGGTTGTATTTCTGTGTTTGACAACATTGTGAATTTGGCTTGTTCAGAGGGGAGACAACACTGTCTACGAGTTCGGGGTATTTACTCCAGCCTGAACAGGAATTCCGGCATCTTGAAGTGAGTTTGAGTTGCTTCTAATGTGAAGTCTGAATATATTGTATCTGGAAAGTTATCTATGGATATAGTTGTACCAGATTGTGGATGGATAATTTTGAGTGTATATTCAGTCGTGTCTATTTTGTGCTGTTAGGAATAAGTCCACTACTGTTGTCTTGTTTTTTTGTTCGACATATAAAAAAAAAGGGGACTGACTATTTTTATTTAAACCCTTCTGTTAAATAAAAAAACAACTTCAACCAAAATTAATGCTGTCCTGTTATTTGATAACAAGGGCAGTCGGGAAATAGGACCCACATTTGTTTTGGAGCTGCAGGTGTTGGTGCGAAAACCATACACCTGGCCATACAGTACCACATCCCAGCCCCAACACTAGTGACCATTAACAGCTAAATGCATGTCCTGCTCTCTGGGGAAAACTGTCTTGCCATAAAATGTACTTCACTGACCTGAAAGCATCTTCTTCATAATAATTAGAACAGCTAGTTTATAAGTGGCCTTGCCCTACAAACCAAAAAAATAAAAAAAATAAAAAGCTGTTGTGTTTGAATGTAATTTGAATATGTTCTCAAACAAAAGACCAGATAGTTTTTTTTTCTAAAAAGTGGGAACTCTTACATTTCCTTGTTTATTCTTTTGAAGTGAAGAGAGTATGTGATGGCTTTTTATTCTTTGAGAGCTGCATGCTCTATGACTATAGATTTTGGTTATAATGTCTGCAGAGTGTACTTCTGGGTACATCTACAAACACTTTGCATACGTGTTTTTTGTGTATGTTGTTTGTTCTTGGGTGTGTATATGTGTGTATTTATGTGTCAGTTTATCCCTTGTCATTCCACTGTGTGGGAGAAAAACATTGCTTTTAAAACTTGTTGGGTGCTCTAAATAATAACTGAATTAAATTTGCAAGTAGACAGAGCCTTTATTTTCCATTACGCCATGAGTCTAAGTCAGGAATCATGTGGCTTTTCACAAATACAAAAATCCTGCACTCCTGCTCAGTAAAATCCTTCTTAATAGGTATTATGTTTCAAAATGGGAAAAAAAAAAATCTTAGGCCAATTTTTGCCCATAACCATTTTGCATGTTGAAGCAGAATGACAGGGTTTTGAAAGATTGGTTGCATTTGGTATCGAAACACCACCACTCCATTATCTCCCAAATATCTTATGTTTATTGTCTCAGTTAGCTGGGTTGTTGTAGTCTGGGGACCTGGCAGGTACTTGGCTGGACTGGGTAGTGGCCCCGCCAAGGTCAAGCACATTGGATTTATGCAAAAAACATCATGGTTAGTTTTAGGCAGAAAAACATATGTATGTGATTAGATTCAGGGAAAAAGACTGTGGGTTGGGTAAAAAAAACTCACCTATTAATAAACCCATAGCATCACACGTGATGTTTCTTTGACACATCCATCTACCCTAATCACCTCCTCCCAAAAATTTTCCCCATTGTATATTTGAAAACTTCAACTGCCATTGAACATAATCTGTGGTCTTGCAGCATACTGGGTGTTTTATGTCTGTTGCACAGTTCATTGAAACTACAGTATATGATACCTACAGCATATCAAGTAAAATGGCCAACGTAAAAGTGTCTTTTTTTATGGATCTACTATATCAAATTGTTGCTGTCCTGTAAAAACCATGTATTTAAATATCAGCTTTTTGTGAGAAAAACAGTTTTCACCCTTGTGAAAACATTTTTACACTAACCAAATAATGGTTTTTAAATAATGTAAAAAGTAGGAGAATTTTGTCAACCCATAAACAAACAATCCCTCAGTTCATCTGAAACATTCAAAGTGACCACCTATGGAGATACATAATTTTGAATGGAGAGCAACATGTATTTCTGATATTACAAACATGCTATTCTAATGCTTTAAAATTTAACTGGAAATTGGTGAGGTTGTTCCTGTAACAGAAAAACCACTCAGGGAGATCATGCAGGTATTTATATCAAACACCAATTCTGATGATTTCACTGATAAACTAGCCCTCATCCAGAAACAAAATCAAAAAACGCCTGGTTAGAATGACAACTTGCACACTCCCAGCTCTCAGTGGCACATTGTGCCTGATTCCTCCTTTGTTTCGTATTGATTCAAATATGCCATTATTTGCCAGCTGCAATAAACTTTACACACTGTTAATTCATTCTGTCATATTTGTCTTTTTAACACAGTGATGAAATGTTATCAATATATAGATTACTGCTGCAGTAGTTTTGAACTGTTTGCTTAATAGGTTAGATTAGAGATATGTGTCCCAAATTGAAATATCTAAACTGCAAATCACTGGCCTACCCTGTGTTTTCCATGAAGCCTGTGGTATTTGCATTTTAATTGGTTGGTGGTGCTAATGATAAAAGACTGCAATTTAACAGCTAAATATTACCAGGAACCCAGGCAAAGCAATTAGTATTCTCTAAATGTCACGTCTTTGTGTCTGGATGCATAATACACAAAATTTATTAGTCACTCTGTGGTCTCACAGAGATACTGTTAGACAATGTAAGCACACCTTTGGTACCTGTAATCTAACACAGCTCCCTCAGTTGTGGAGGCATATCACTTCAAGCAAAAACCAACAATCCCAAATGTGTTTGTTTCCACATACAAATATTCCCACAGGGAGTGTGATGAGTGTATAAGTGCTGTCTTTTCTTTACTTATCTAGAACGTTCTACTGCACACTCACCTTAAATACTGTAGATAGGCAGAAGTGCAGTAGTGGCAGCAGTTCCATAAAAGATAGGGTTATTTACAAAAAGAATACCATTCCAAATGCTAGATATACATATGCATTATCTACTTGCAAAATATCAGAATTAACAGAACAGTAAACAATTTTTAAAAACCTATGAAGACTCTTCTTGATTTTACTCAGGATTTACTCATGGATGCATTTAATGCTATGGGAAAAGAAATAACCTATTTTAAATGCAACAGTCATAATTACAAACAGTAGGGTCAGATGACTGACTTCAAGCTTTTATTGGATCAAACTTGAGTTCCTGTCTTTGCCTCTCAGCAAATTTTTTGTTCTTAAATGGGAAATTACTGTAAATATCAAAGAAGGCAGAGAGAGAAAAAATGAAAAACAAAGTGCCTTAAAATGGTAGTAGAACATAATACAGGTGGTTCCAGTTCACCTGACAATGTCATATTGAGTGAAAATCTTCATTGTGTTACCTTCTGATGGTGTTAAGGGTCTATTAATAGCTCATTTACTGCCATTCTAACTCTTAAAGGAGAGGTAAACAAGATCAGTGTCGTAAGTTTAAATAACAAACCCAGTCATCCCAAAGATAATTACACAGAGATCAATGAGCAAAGGATGACCCAGAAACGATAAATAAATGGGCATCACCAATCAATATTTCACGGTTACTCACAGACACACATTCATGTACGCAGGCTTGCACATTTGTATGCATCATCCCTGCCAAGGAACAAGTGGCTAATCTGTAAACTAAAAATCTTCTACTTTTCTTAAACAGAACATGAGGTCAAAATTACATTTGAATGGCCTTTCTCTCTTATTAGTGTCATGGCGTCTTTGAATGCATGAGGAAAAAATATGAAGCTTTCAACCCTTCTCATTCCTATGCCATTTTGCCTGATGTGATAAAGGCTTCTTGTTGATGCAACCACAGCCTTTTCCTCATATACATTTGTATTATGCATTAGACTAAAGAACAATCTATGTCTAATGGTTGATCGTTTTAGACCTAGCAGAAAAAGATTCTTACATGAATAGCTACTACAGTTAACAATATTTTTATAGTTATACAATACAGGAATGGATTTAGACCACTGACTATTTAAACAATGGAGCATCATCACTTCTCTCCACTGCAAAAATCAAGTTAAAATATCACGACTACAGCAGCTGCCATCTTGCTGTTTTCAACCAGATTCTGTGCAGTAGTGACGAGAAGTGAAGTGACAGCATTAGACCACCAATCAAAGCGGATCAAATAAGTTAATTAAAACAAACTTACCAGAAAAAAAATAACCAATTGCATGCACATCAGCATCATAATATCTAGCAGAAACCACAGAAATGACCTCTGGGGAAAATGTATTTGATTTGTATTTTGCGTTTTTAGTTTGGCTCATGTCCTATCCACTCACATGGAGGGAACAGGATTTATGACTTATTCTGTAACCAGCTGTAGTGGAAAGGTGAAATTCATACATATGCTATTTGCTCAGTATGCCCAATATTCATATAATCTATGTATTTGTGCTGTATAACCTTGTTTCATTTTCCTCTTGGACAGTTCTACAGTTCTCCCAAACAGTTCTGCCTCCCAGACACTCCACACAGGTTTAGTCTCTACACACACACACCTTCACACACATACACACGTCATACACACACAGACCCAGTCTCTATTGACACACACATAGCCTGTTACCTACACAACCCAACTGTCTGGCCCCAACTGCCTATCTAGAAGATACCTATGAAGGTCACACATTTCTGACTGGCTAGTGGGGTGATAGTTGACTGATGTTATACAAAACCTGACTTCTCGCCTTTGTCACTCACTGACTCTTTGCACTGAGTTTGTGATCTCTTGATCAAGATACTGGTACTGTCTTATGCTATTGTCTGATTTATTTAATAAATTACAGAAAGACTACCTGAGAACCTCTTATTGATTTCCATGACACCAGCTACCAGGGGGTGATCATGTTGCGGTGGCTTCACTTCTGGGACCAGTCAGCCTGTCCATTGTTTTAATAGCCAATGATTTAGACAAACCAGGCAATTCAATTCAAGTGTCATTCATTGGAAAACTGTTTGTTCAGTTGTTACAGATATGCTTGCAGGTGTCATGATTTGGTTCCGCTGCTTCCTGTCGTGCTTTTATTTTGACATTTCTTCCTGTTTTTGTTTTACCACAGTTTCAGTCTTTTTACTCTAATCATCACTCACATTAGTTTCACCTGCTTCGTATTGTTTGCACCTGTTTTCACCCTATTTAGGCAGTGTCCTCCCACCAGGATGCTGCCAGATTGTTCTAGACTCCAGGACTGACTCTCCAGCATTTTTTGGTTTTGGTATTTCCTGTTTTTGACCCGGATCATGTACTGTGACAATTATGTTCTGCCTTACCCTCTTCGGACTGCCTACCATGTATGAGTTATCGAATTTCCCTTTGGACAACGCATTTTGGATTCCTTTGATGTATGTGTTTGCTGGCTCTGATCTTGGACTGTTGTACCGACCTGTAAGTGCAATTTGTGTTACACCGTGTCTTCTTGTTTTTGTTCAGCGTTAGTGCTCTTATTAAAGAGACGGTTTTGTTGCACATATCCTTGTCTGGCTATTTAATTGAGCTCACCCACGACATGTTCGGCAGCATCATGCACCGATCCTGTCAGCAG